TATGATTTCATTCACAAAATTGCAGAAGCAGCCATACATATTTAGAGATAAAAGTTTAAACAGAGGCAGAGGAATAAGTATCAGGATCATGGTTACCTCTGGGAGGGTGGAGGTAGGAAGAGTGTACAAGGGGCAAGCAGTTGGGAACGGACCCAAAGCAGCTCCCATATACTGGCAGTAGCCTATTAATCTAAGTTCCATGGGGACTCTCACTGTGATTATTCTTGAAACTAATTGTGCACATACATCTCTTTTGTGTGTATGACATATTTCATAGTTGAAGAAATGGAGGGACAGAACCATAGGAGGGTGGGTAGTGTTGCATTCTCAGTCCATTGATGAATTTATTGTGAATTTAGAGTGATAGCAGGGCTGTATGACTGCCTCTAGCAGCACTCAGGTACCTGAGGGGACATCTGGAGACGGAAGAGTTGAATTCATCTGTCACTGGAGTTTTGTCAGGTGGGAGACATGAAGGTAGAAGGACCAAGGAAATCTAGAATAGTAGAAAGGGAACAAATGAAAACCTGTTCTGTGGAAACAAGGCGAAAAGGGGACACAAGTGAAGTCATTGGAGAGGAGGCGGAAATTCTGGGAAGACCTGTTTCAGGCAGGGAATATAAGATCTAGAGGAACCTAGTGCAGTTAACAAACTGGACTCCATGGGAGTAAAAGCTGGTGCATCTGTTATGATGGGAGGTCTTGAAGGGGGCACATTTGAGGCAAGACAATGTCTGGGTGTGACAGGACTGAATTGTTATGGTTGTGTCTGTTTTAGTTCCTATAACCTGCAGAAATCCCTCTACTCCAAAGCCAGCCCAAAAAAGCAACACTCAAAGTACTACCAGGGTCCTGCTATGCAGGTACACCTCTGAATGTGGCCTCAGCATGGGTAGGGTAAACAGCAGAAGTGCTTGGGCAAAAGGATTATTGGCTCTTCCTTCTTTCTGACCCAAGCACTTTTGGCTATATTTGTAGTACATGTCTAGTTGCAAACACTTCTCATCACATGTGGATAGGATGACTGTCCAGTTCTAAGCCACCATCATCCATCATTGGATTATTACAACAGCCTTTCAACTGCCCCCTCCGATTTCCTTGTGCACCCTACAGACTTCTTCATCTTTGTGGCAATGTTATATTCATTGACAGTAATGAATCATCTTGATTTCCCCATAATAATAGGAGAGGGGAAAACCAAAAACTTGTGGATGACAACAGAACAAAAAGAGGTGAGCAGGCAGACAGAGAAGCCCTTATTTATACTGGAGATTAAGAATTACTTATAAATTTACATACAGTAAAAGATACTCTTTTTGGTATACAGTTATTTTAAGTCTTGACAAACACATAGAGTCATGAGACCACTCCTACAAATCAAAATACGGATACACTTTTACAGCCCCTAAACTTTTCTCCGTGCTGTAGTCAACCTCCCCAACCCCTGGGGACCACTGATCTGTTCTCTATCTCTACAATTTTACCTTTTCTAGAATGTCATGTAAATGGGATCATACAGTTTAGATCTTTTTGAATCTGGCTTCTTTCACTTAATATAATGCCTTTGAGAATCATTCATGTTGTTGCTGAGTAGTATTCCACTGCATGGATATACCACAGTTTAAGCATTTACTCACTGAAGGACTTTTGGATCATTTCCAGTTTGAGGAACTTAAAGAATAAGAGACATTCAGTAGCAATATAGATTTGGACTTGATTAACAAGCCTGACCTAACTGATGTATACAGAATATTCATTATTTTCAAGGGCTCATGGACATTTACCAAAATAGAACATATTTGGGACCACAAAGAATGTATGAGCACAAAAATAAAAAAGTGGGACTACATCAAACTAAAAATCTTCTGCACAGTGAAGAAAACCATCAACAGAATGAAAATACAATGATATATCCAATAAGGTTCTAATATCTGAATTATATGAAGAACTCCTACAACTCAGTCTCCCAAAAAACAAATAATCTGATTTAAAAATGGGCAGAGGACATGACTAGACAGTTTTCCAAAGAAGACATATAGATGGCCAAGAGACACATGAAAAGATGCTCCATATCACTAATCATCAGGGAAATGCAAATCAAACCACAATGAAATATCATCTCAACCCTAGTCAGAATGGCAAGTAGCTAAAAGACAAGAAATAATATGTGTTGGCAAGGATGTGGAAAAAAGGAACCCTCCTACACTGTTGGTGGGAATGTAAATTGGTGCAGCCGCTATGGAAAGCAGTATGGAGCTTCCTCAAAAAACTAAAAATAGAAACACCATATGACCCAGTATTTACTCAAAACAAAAAACTAATTTGAAAAGATATATGCACCCCTATATTTATTGCAGCATTATTTACAATAGCCAACATAGGGAAGAAACCTAAGTATCCATCAATAGAGGAATGGATAAAGATGTCAGGGGGTTGAGAGTACAGCATAGGGAATATGCCCAACAATATTGTAATAACTTTGCATGGTGACAAATAGTTAACTACAGTTATTTTGGTAAGCAAGTAGTAATGTATATAATTGTCAAATCACTATATTATATTCCTGAAACAAATATAATATTGTGTATCAACTATTCCCTGATTTTAAAAAATGTATAAGCCTATTCAGAGAATTGGAATCATTCATAGCATATCCTCTGTGTTTTGTATAATTAAAGTGGATCTGAGAAATAGGAAGTAACCAGAAAATCTCTTAATATTTGGAAACCAACAACACCCTTCCAAACTACTCATGGGCCAGAAGAGAAATCAAAATTTAAATTAAAAAATATTTTGAACTAAATGATAATTTAAAGAAACATTTAAAACCTGTGAGAGATGGTAAAGCTGTGATTAGGGGAAATTTATAGTCTTAAATGAACACAGTAGAAAAGAAGTCGAAAACCAGTAAGCCTGGTTCTAACAACAAACTGAAAGAAAAAAGGACAATAAATTACCTCTCAAACTAGAAATACAGACATAGTAAAACTAAGGGCAGAGATCAGTGAAATAGAAGGCACAATAGGAAAAACTCATTAAAGGCAAAAGTCGTTTCTTTGAGAAAAATGATAAAATGGACAAAACCCTAGCAAGACTGATCAAGGAAGAAAACACCAAAATTCCCCTATATTTGAATCAAAATGGGACATCACTACAGATTCCACAGACATCTGGATGTAATGAAAAACTTGTAAATCTAAAAATTTAGGCAAAATGGAAAACTAGTTCAAAAACTCAATTTACCAAAAAAGACACGGGGAATAAGTGAATGATGTGCATGATCCTACATCAAGGGAAATCAATCTGTAATTTAAAACCTTCCCTTGGTGAAAATCAAGGTGCAGATTTTTAATAACATTCTTATTGAAAATCAATGGAGCACAAATGTATGGTTTGTGTACTATCACCTAGGTACATTATACTTACAAAAGGTTTTAAATGTTCATTTAAATGACACAGGGAGTGGTGGGTGGGGAAGAGATACAACAAAATTGACCATGTATTGGTCATTGTTGAAGTGGGGACATTGGGCTTATGATTCTTATACCTCCTTAGCCCCTACTTTTATAAATGTTAAAAATTTTCCATAATAAAATGTTTTTGTAAAAAAAAACCCCAAACCATAATATTACATTGCAAAACCCTGCACAAGCGCTACAGCTCCCTCTGAGTCAATGGGCCAAAGGCCAAACAGGCTTTTTCTGATTTGGTCACACTGGCACCTCCTAGAATCCCTTCCACTACCACACTCTCCCTCATTTTCACACCACTCTGGCCTCCTTGTTACTGCTTGCACATGCTGAATCATACTCCCATCTCAGGTCCTTTGCACTTTCTGTTCCCTTTGCCTCAAGTATTCATTCTTCAGATTCAGCATGGCTTCCTCAGTCAGGTCTTTGCTCATATGTCACCCTTTCAGTGAAGACTACCCTAACCACCCAAAGTAACTAACTCCACAAGTTGCACTCCCTACCCGTCTCCCTGCCATGCTTTCTCTAGAGCACCTGCATCATCTGACATATGAATATTTTTCTGTGCTTATTTGCTGCCTGCTTCCCATAAGAATGCACACGTCAACCAGACAGGGACACTCACACCTGAATCTCAGTGTCCAAAATGGCAACTGCACACTGTAGGCACTCAGTAAACATATACGGCATGAATGAATAAGGAAGGTGCTTTTCCAAGAGGTGCTATGGGGCATCTCCCCATTCCCTTCACCCACCAGATTCCTCCACCCAGTGGGCTTCCTGACCCCAGATCTGTTCCACATTCACTTGAGTTTGGGCTGCCTACAAGGGTCACTCCTGACCTCTGGGATTGTCGCCAGAGAACAAGGATGTCTCTTCAGAGAGATAGGAGGCTCCACTGGGAGCCAGAAGACCTGGATCCTTCTCTTCGTGGCTTTGGAAGAATGGGACCACAGAATCTCTCAAGGCACTTTCTCTGCCTCTTCCCAGCTCTGAGATCCTGCAGAGCAACTTCATTCCCTGATCATCGCTTTTACTCATCTGTCCAATGGGAGCAAAAACACCAAACTTGTAGGGTGGTTATGATGGTTAAAGGGAATAACCACGGGGCTAGGATTTGCTCACTCGGAAGACTTTCACTGCAGATGCCATTGATAAAAATTTTGCCAGCTCTAGAGAGTCCCTAAGGGTCTTTACCTGAGGTGGCCACATCACCTTTTGGGTTGTTTGTCGCCTTACCGTTTTTATGAAACCTAGCCTGGTCTCTCCCTGAGCCATTCCTCTGTGCCCCCAACCCCGCCCTGCGTCCTAGCCACGCGCTCTACTCCAGGCACCCGCGTCCCGCAGGACCTCTCCCCGCGCCCGCTCCACACCCCGGGCCCGCACCCGCAGCTCCGCGCTCCCGCGCCCGTTCCGTGCCCGCGCTCCGCTACCCGCGCCCCGCTACCCGCGCCCGCCCCGCACCCCGGGCCCGCGCCTGCCAGCTCCGAGTTCTCGCACGCGCCAGCTCTGTGCCCGCGCCCCGTTGCCCGCGCCCCGTTGCCCGCGCTCTCGCGCCCGCCAGTCCCGCGCCTGCTCCCCGCCAGTTCCCCGGTGCCGGCCGCGGAGGGAGCTGCTCTGCCCGCAGCTGGCGCAGCGCGGGGGCGGCCGCGGGGCGCGCCGAGCATGAGCCGCCAGCGGCGGTGCGCTGCTCGTGGCCCCGCAGGGTTTGGAGGACTGCGCGGGAGCTTCGCTGGCCCGGACCGAGGTAGGCAGCGGCCGGTGCGCCGTTCCCCGGTGCCCACCTGCCTGCTGCGGGCCGGGCCCTCCGGTCGCGGGCGCAGCGGGAAGGCGCGGGCCCAGGGTCCCGCCGGGCGCGGCCGTCGTTGGGCAGGGGCCGCGCGTGGAGTGGGGCGCGCGGGAGCGCCGCTTGGAGTTGCCGGGAACTCCGCCTGGTCGGGACTACGCGGGACCCCCGGAGCCCCCGGGGCAGCGGGCGTCTCAGCCTAGCGTAGCGGAAGCTCCGGGCGTGGGCGCGGCCCGCAGGTCCACCGCTGCTGCCTGAGTGAGGAGGGGGCTGGGAAATCGGGGCGCTTGGGGCTGCGCAGTTGGAAGTTTCCATTTGCTTGTCCGCATTCTGGGCCCAGCGGTGGTGTTTCACGCCCTTGCTGTTGCTGGATGAATTGGGACGTGAGCTCAGCATCTGAGGGAAGCCGTCCAGGGCCAGGGCGAGGTGTGCCGTGTCCCGTGAGCAAGGGCCATCTGGAGGACCGTGCCCTCTTTGCCCAGGACTTGCTGGGAGCGGGTGCAGCTGGTGGTGGTCTGTGTGTGCTGTGGGGAGGGAGCTTTTGCCATCTGGAGGGGGCCACGCAGTAGGCTCCTGCCCCCTGCTTCTCTAGTTGCTTCCAAGCCCGTTGGGGCCAGTGGATATTTATAGGTGGTTGCCTTCCTCCTGGGAGCTGCTGGGGCACTGAAATATGGTGGTGGCCAGGGTACCCCTTTCCAGCTTGGTTAGGCCTGTGAGCTCCATCTGGCTCACTGACCCTCTGCTGTCACCCATCGCCCACCCTCTGGAGCAAGGGAAGGGCCCAGATGGCCACCTGCCCCGGGAGCCTGGGACCATGAGTCACGTTGGTATGCAGGGAGTCTCACAGAGGTAGTGGTCTGCACTGCACTCAGCAGTCTCCCACCTCCCTCTGGATAGTCTTGCCCAGCACAATCTGGTCTGGGTCTGGGCCCTTGCCTGCCCAGATAGGAAGCCTAGAGAGCCAAACAGTGCTTGTTGTGAGCAGAAAATTAGCGTGTCAGGTGGCCACACGTCTTGGTTCTGAACTGTGGGCAGGCTGCAGGCCCCTCCAAGACTCAGTGTCCACTTCTGTAGAATGGGACCATGGTTTCAGTGACCTCTGAGGGCATTTCCCTCCTGACATCCAGGGACACTTTGCATTGGAAACTGAGGATGCCAGCCCAGGAGCATAGGATCCAGAGAGGGAAGAAATGGGGGACCTCCACTTGGTAGTATGAGGCAGGGTTCTCTGCCTCTCCAGCCTTTGCTCTTAGGGACATAGTGACCTGCAGCTCTCAAGGAGGTTGTGGGTGCCCCTGAGGGGGGAGGAGCAGCGCAAACCCACATGGTGACACCCTCCCAGGGTAGCTGTGTACTCCTCCTGTGTCATGGCCCTTGGTTTGGAGAACACAAGCAGGTGTCCCCAGGTATGCCATGGGGGCCTAGACACCAGCCAGCAAGTTTATTTTTCTCTGGGAGACATCCCTGAACTGCCAGCCTGATGGCTCCCTTCCACCTGGCAAATCGCAGAAATGGAACAGTTCACACGCGAAGCAGAGGGGTTTTTTGGTGTAACTTAGCAACCACAGGCAGAGGAGGAGAGAGAAGTACCGGCCCCACCAGTATTTGTGCTGGGCAGGCCTGAGTGAGGCCCTTGGCAGGTGTGCTTAGGCTGAGAGGGGTGGGCATCCCCAGTGCAAGTGGCTCTCCATGGGCTGGCCAGGTGAGGGACAGACCCACAGTCCATTCCCTGGGCCCACCAGAAGAGAGTAACTGGAGGCTGGGATGGTTAGGTGTGGCTGGAGAGCCCCTGAGCACCACTGTCTCCCCATCTGTAGAATAGTGAGCCGAAGGGCAGAACTGGATTTTTTTAACCACAAAACACTGTCCTCAAGCCACATTTCACAGAAGCCACATTTGTTCAAGTGAAGGTTGGAGGGGTGGAAGTGGGTCTTTGAGGTCCAGCCACTGACTTGGGCAGGCGCTGGGGAGGGCCAGCATAGGATTCATGTCTGCATGACCCAACACCTGCAGAGGCCCCTGGGTGTCCCCACAGGCACTGCTGGGAGTGGGTCCCAGGGCCACGGTGGGGGCAAGGGACTAAGATGCAGAGGGCCAGTCTGGGTGGTCAAGACTCAGTGTGGCTCCCAGCTGCCCATGCTTCCTGTTGCCCTATGCTGGTGCTTCTCCTCCCCTGCTCTCCCTCCTGAGGCCGTTTGCCTTAGCCTCCGGCTGTTTTTCTGTCATGCTGAGCAGAAATCTGCCTCCTTTAACTCCCACCCACTCCAGGCTGCCTCTCCTTTCCTTGCCCTCGCTTGCCCACCTCCCTCCTGCGGATGAGTGTTTACTTAGCAACATGTCTTCCTAGAGAATCTGAGGAGGGAGGCAGGGAGGGAGGCTGTCATCACGGGGTGCTGAAGGGCATCTCGGGGACGCTGCCAACTGTGGCCATGGGGGGAGGGCCTCTGACAATGCTGGCCACACATCAGGGCCCTGGGCCTGAGGGGGTCTGGGAAGGACACTCTGCCTTCTCTCAGAGTGAGTGCCCTGCTCACTGCACGGAGCAGGGAGCTGTGGGCCTGTGAATGCATGTCAGAGAGTGGGCACCTGGGATGCCCTGGCCTGACACACAGTGGGCTGGCCCCTGTGGTGTATTCAGAATGTCCCACACTAGGGACACTGGGAATCCCCAGTCTGACCTTGGGGTATGGTTTGGGAAGGCCAGCAGGCATCGGGCTGTGGGAGGGGAAGGCCAAAAGCCCTATGGGGCTGCTCAGAGGACAGGAGGGGCGGCCAGGTGCAGGGTTCACCCTGGGACAGAGAGGGCCTTGGGATTTGCCCCCGGGGACAGGCCCAGGCCCCGTGAAGATGGACTTATGAGAGGAGTCTGGCCACTGGTGTGAAAGTGTTAGGGTCACCATGGATGTCTTCCAGGGCTAGGGAGGGCAGAGTGTGCATGTTGCCTGTCACTGCTGCTGTGGAGGGTGGCGGGTGGATGGCCTTGGGTGTCTGAAGGCTGCCATCTGCAAACACATGTCCTAAGGACTGCATAGGTGCCTGGGATTTGATGCAGGGCAATACCAGGTGGTCCTGCTCTGGGAAATTTCTGCCCACCTCCCTCATTTTGCAGGGGACCTCAGGGCAGGGTACTGGTGCTGGGATGGGGCCTGGCATGGGAGTAAAGAGCTTCTCGGCCCCTCCCCACCATGAGCACTGACTCGGGGGTTAGGTTGTGGGCTGTTCTGTCTGTCCCTTTTGAGCAGGCTGTGGGGTTCCCTAGGGCAGGGCAAGTTCAGGGGGCAGCTGGTGGGTGCCAACTCAGGAAGAGGTCTGAGGCTGGGCCTCAGGGAGTTTCCCTGATTTTCCCTAGGAGAGCACCTCATTTTGCCTGTGGGACATATGTGGTGAGCCCCCCTGCCTGGGAGTGCACTGTTGGACACTCAGGGGCCTTGTTCCCTCCACAGGTGAGGGGCTGCCAGCCTGGCGGACAGGTGACAGAGAAGTTACTTGTGAGAGCATCTCCCAGCTTAAACACAACAAACCTTTCTCATCTGCCTCTCCCTCCAGGGACTCCCCCTTCTCCCCTTCTCTGCTCAGGCTGACTTTGAAGTGGTGTCCCTGTTTGCTCACTCCCATCCTCACTTCCCACCCACTTCCAGCCCCCTCCAATCTGGTACACTCCCTTCCCTCCAGGGAGAACGTCTTCAGAGGCCCATGGACATGTCCAGCCCTGCAGTTCCTGCTGTCCCTGCTCTGGGCCCCCACCCACCACAACCCCGGCCTGACCCCTGCCTGGGCTCTGCAGGCCCACCCCAGGTCTCCATGACCTCTCGCCTCCCTGCCAACTTTCCTGTAGCCTCTCCCTCCTCTCCCAGGACACCCAGTGTTCCTCATCCTCAGGACCTGGACCTTCACCCTCCACTTCCCAACCACAGCTTCTGTTTCCTCCTTGGTGCTGATCCGTCAAAACTCGCATCAGCCTGGCCTGGCCTCTGGGCTCTGTCGGCATTCCAGCCCTCACCTGCCAGGAGCCCCCAAGGGGGCCATGGGCAGCCTGTGCACTGCCATCCTGCCCCTGAACCTCTCCATCTAGCAGGTGGGACAGCCAAACTCTTCCTCTGGCCTCTGCCAGGCCAACCCCCACCTGGATTGAGTCATCAGCCAGTCTGGCCCACCTGCCCCAGACCTCTCTTCCACCCCCTCCACCTCCCCCTGCCCACTGCCCCTTCCTCGGGTTGGGCTGCCTTCCCCTGGCTTGGACTGGACAACTGCAGCAGCCTCCTTCCTTCTGTCCCTTTCCCCACCACAGCCGGGTGACCTTTCTAACCTTTGAAAAAGTACTGGGAGCTTCTCTTCCCATGCAGGTCTCCCTCTCCCTCCAGTCTGCCCCCACCTTCCTTGGGGGTGCCTGCCTGGGTGTGCTGTAAAAGGCACCCTGGGCCTCTGCATGGCGCTGCCCTCTGTGTAATGGTCTGGGATCCCCTGGAGTAGAGCCTACATCGGGCCCTTTAGGCGCAGTTAGGCCCCCAGCTCTGAGATGGTGGCTGTGCTGAGGGACTCGGAACTTCGTGGGCTGCGTGTGGACGTCTGCGAGCCACTGTGCATGGTGGTCTGTGTGCAGGATCATGTGGGGGGTGCTTGTCTGGACCATATTGCTGTCCCCCTTCAGGGAGTGGACAGGGCAGCAGACTCACCAGCCTGGGATGGGCAAGGGGTGGCTGGGGATCAGATTTGATCAGGAAGTAGTGGGTGTGGGGCTGGGAGGCCAAGCCCCTGCCTGTTGTCACCACCGCTTCTGTTTCTCCAAGTGTCACCCTCAGACTCTACCTTGAAGAGAGCGGTCTCCCTGGATCCAGTTGCCATGGCAACATGTTAACAAAGAGTAGCTTCCGTGGAGGCTGGCTCACCCAGAAGCTGAGGGGGTAGGAGAGGGGGTGCATCTCAGCATCTCACGGGTCTATCAGTGGAGCCTATTCCCCACC